TTCCCTTTGTGTTCATCATTTGGGTTAATTACTGGAAGATGGTGGTTCTGGCCAAAAGGAAGGACTTGAACTAATTCTTACTCAATAATTCTCTAAGATCTTTATATAAGGGGTCATCACAAAGTTCATGAAAAGTAGGTATTATAAAAACACTATGGGACCAGCAGGTGACGCAATGGCGATGTCACTGGACTCCTGTGTAGAACTGCGGTTTGAGTCCTGGACCCAGTGACTTAAACTCAGGCCAAGTGTGTGTGCGTGTGTGCCCAAGATCCCAAGAGAAGAATGGGAGAATGGAGGAGAAGGGAATGCGGCGTGGCCATCCCTGCTGGGGGATGATTTCTCACTTTCTGTGTCTCTGTCCAGCGTGCGCACCCTGTAGCCAAAACCTCTCCAAAAACAAGAAAACACTATGGGAGTCAGCAGGTGGCATGGTAGTTAAGGCCCTGGACTCACTGGTCAACCATAGGTCAAGTCACGGATCTAGCGCTTGTTTTCTTACTTTCCCTTTCTGGTTAAATTAAAATAATAATAATAATAATAAATAATTCTTAAAAAAAAGAAAAGAAAATATTAGAAGGGCCCAGGAGGTGGTGTGGTGGTTAAGGTGGTGGACTCCCACATGACTGACTGCACTTTGAGTCTGACCTGGAGGCTTGCTTTCTCACTTTCCCCCTCGCTCTGGTGAGCACATGTACCCTACGGCAAAATTAAAAAATAATAATAAATAAAATTAAATAAATCATTCTTTAAAAACAAAAACCAAAAAAACACTATTAATGGATTTTAAATTTTTTTCCCACCAAAATAAACTCATACTTTGATTCTGTTTTTCTATGAACTTACTAAAGTGCCCTTGTATTTTCCTGGCTTAATACTTGGTGTGCATTGATTTAATCTGATTTTACCCTGTACTGCTTCAACTGAATAAAGAGTTGAGGTTGTAACAAAGTAATTTTCTGTAGAAGTCTTAATGTTATGAGAGTTGTTATTCTGTATACTAGTAGTAATAAACTTAGTATAAAAAACTCACATCTATTGGGAACCAGCAGTTAGTGTAATGGCTATGTTGCTGGACTCCCACGTAGTCAACCACGGTTCGCATCCCGGACCCAGTGGCTTAAAACTCACGCTGGGCGCGTGTGCATGTGTGACCAAGCTCCCGAGAGGAGAAGGGACTGCGGTGTGACCATCCCCCCTGGGGGGTGATTTCTTGCTTTCTGTCTCTCTGTCTCTCTCTGGCGAGCGCACCTGCCCTATAGCAAAAACCTCTCAAAAAAAAAAACAACCCAACTCACATCTATTTAAGAACATGGACAATCCCATGACTTTCGAGTTTTTAAATTTGAAAACAGAATGGGGATAGGAAATGAACAAGTTAGGCTGTCCAAAAATATCGTCAGACACTGATTAAGCATTGTCTTGACTTTTACCATTTCGCTGATGTGAGCTGCATCTCAATTGGCTTATCCCTCTGTAACATCTTCACAAAGATCTGTGGTAACAATTCTCCATCAACCAAAACTACAAATAAAACAAAAAGAGGTTAAGGAAATTCTTTAAATCTACAAAGTTTATAAATGAAATCATGTAGGTGACACTCAAAGTTCCAGCCTACCATTTACCAGGGTCATCGATACCTGGGGGTTTTCAAAAGCTAAAACTGAGAAGCATTTCAGCGCTTGCATTCGAACCTGTAAAGATGAATGAACAAAGAAACAAAATGCGTTATTTTAATTTTGCAAATATGAATTTTTAATATCTCAAATCTAAACTCTTGAAGAAATAACTATTAATACTTAAATTTACCTATAGGCCTCACAGGAATAACATTAATACATGTGTATCTGAAGAGTTAAGTAAAAGTTAAAATTAATAAAAATTTACACTTAATTTTGAAATGCAGAAAAGAAAAAAATGAAGTAGCAATTAAAATTGAACCAGATAAATTCTTAATCAAATACAAAAGAACACTGTACAAAATACAGTATTGGTAAGACAAAGGGAACCTAAGAACAATTAATTACCAAGTGCTTTTTTTTTTCTTTTTTTGGAGAGGTATTTTTTGCTATAGGGCACCTGTACTTGCCAGACAGAGAGACAGAGACAAAGAGACAGAAAAAGAGAAATCACCCCCCCGGGAGGGGTAGCTATGCCGCAATCCCTTCTCCTCCATTCTCCTCTCGGGATCTTGGACACGCACGCACATGTGCCCAGTGTGAGTTTTAAGCCACTGGGTCCAGTACTCAAACTGCGATCGACTACATGGGAGTCCAGAGACATAGCCTTACGCTAACTGCGGTCCCATCAAGTGCCTTTTAATTAAGATATTTCTTCTTCCCTAACTATAAACCAGAAAACTGAAGGCAAGGAAGAGGGAAAAATTATTCCCACAAATGGATATGGGATGGGATGGGATGGAGATGGGGGCAGGAAACCAAGTCAGGAAACAATGCTACAATAAAGTTTGAGAAGAACTAAGGTCAACACATCTATGAACTACGCTGCTGTTCCTCCAGACTTGGGCACCGTGCCGAGGTGGTACCAAGAGCACAGTCCCCTGACCACATGCAGTCGTCTTATGGTCTGCAGGGCTCGTCTGCCCGAGCTGTTACACTTCACGCTTTCTACTCCGTTTTCATCAGCTGATCCAGTCCTTACCTCCAAGTCCGAGTCCATGTATAACACAGACTTTAGTGGGACCTTAGTTCCACTTAAGAACGGAAGGCAGGCACTCAGAGGAGAGGTAGCTGGGGTGTGAAAGAGCCCCGTTCCTCATCCAGTCAGCGCTCTGCAGCAATCACAGCTGCTCACAGGAAGAACCTCGAGCGTGTTTGTGACATTCTGACAGTGGAGCAAGCCTTGGCAAAAGACTGTTACCGGACACTCTTCCCTTTAATTACCTCTAAGTTTTAAAATCTGTTATAGTAGATAAGGAAGTCTAGTGCAGAAAAAAAAATTAAAAAGAAGTGGGGGAAGAGCAGAGGGAATGAATGAAGCCAGAGGGTGGTGAAGTAAAGGGACAGTAGACAGCCACCCCACAGCTGCCTCCTGGCATGCAGCTGCTGACCGCCTCCGGCCAAGCACGGTACCGGGCAGAGGGAGCAGCTCTCAGCACACGCCTCCTCCCCTGCCCCTGGCTAGATCTGAGCTGGCTCCATTTCCATTCCTATCCTTATGAGCTCTTCCCCAAAACCACACTTTGGAGGTCGGAGGTAGGGAGAACCTACACATTAGCAGGCCCTACCTGAAATCAAGCTAAGGACCAAAGGAGCAGACTCGGATGAGTACAAGAAGATACAAACGCCTGCTTTCTGCTCTGCAGGAAACGCCTGCGCACGGAGCTCTGATGTGACACAATAAGGACAATGTCCCAATACTTGTTACAACTTGCTAGGTGGACAACAGTGAATGGCCACATTTCAACTCAATGCTTGGCAATGCATTATATTATGATGCCATTTATCTACATGTGAAAGATAGTAAAAAAATTCATTAATAAGCCTGAAAACTCTTTACTTTTCAGCTCAAAATACAAACAGAACACATTTTAAGTGTATATGTGAGTGTGTGCTGTAAGTCTGGTCACTACAGCTAAATAAAGGTCTCAAACATGGAATCCAAAGCCGTCCCTGAGACAGCTAGCCACTGCTTCTAGACACTGTGAGGCACCACTGTGAGCAGAGGCTTTGGCGGTGGGACCTAACCAGAAAAACAGGCCATACTATTGAATGAATGACAATCAATGCAATTAATAGTATAATCATATCCCCCCAAAATGCAAAGACAGTTTTTTAAAAAGCATTCTGTAAGTAAAATAATGCCCTATAATATTTACTGATAAATACTACTTTCGATCACAACAGCTATGGAAGAAGCAATAAAATCATGTGGTGCCCTTTCCAGAAACTAAAAAGAAGGTATAATTGGCCATAACTGTGAACAGCTTACTTTGTAGGACAGTGAGGTTAGTAGGTGAGCAATATTTTGAACTGCACCATGGTTAAATAAAATTGTTTGATGATCTGGCCCCTGTAAGAAAAGAGAATACAATAATACGTTAAGAAGAGTAACGAATGACTCATTCCAATAAAAGCACATTTACTTGAAAGTAGAAAACGACATTCACTACAGTGTAGGATTTTCAATTTCCCTTTGATTGCTACAGTCAATCCCGAAAGCAAAGAGGACAGCTTTCAGTCCTGCAAGGGGCTGCCACACCTCACCTCATCCCAGCTCTACGCAGCTGCCTCCTTTCGCCCAGAAATAAGGAAGGCACGCAGAAGCTGTCTTGGCATGGGTCCTGTGCACTCAGGAGACGGCAACCACCACAGCAAAGAGTCGCTGTGCACTCCGTGCAGCCCTGCCCTCTGCCCACAGAGACTGGCACAGTCCCTCTGACCTAGGACGGAGGAGCCAGGCAGGGAGCCCTGGAAGTAACTCGAGAGGGACCGGGCCAGAGCCCAGCCTACTCCACACGACAGGGGGTCTGAGTAACACTCAGTGAGGAGCACAACGCTCAGGAGCTGAGAGGTGGACAACTTGCTGCGGTTTCCATATTTCTAGCTCATTTCTCTTTTTAAAATAAGCAGTTCTTACAGTGAGAATGTAAAGAAATGCAGAAGTGTTTTCTACTGTCAACGCACGCAGGATCCTTAAAAGAGCAGAAGGTAAAGGCCAAGGCAAAGCTTCAAATTTGCCACAGTTCTTACTTATTCACTTTATGTCTCACCTCATCCAATCGATTCGTGAAGTCAGTTAAAGCCAAGATAAGGATGAGATTTAGTGCTTATCATTATTCAGAGGAGAAACACACATTGCCAAAATGCAGACTATCGGTCTGGGCCCACCCCAGGAAACTAGTCACTGGTATAAAACAAATGCGCTCAAACCAATCTCTCTGGCTTACTATTTAATCAAGTAACAATTATCTTGTAGATGCTCATTCTCAGGGCAAAGCATCCCTCATCTGAAGACAGAAAATGAGGTTCGCACTTTGGAATAACACAGCAGCCAAATTCTATTTTATAGCTAACATTCCCCTAAACATTTTATAGAAAATTAAGAGTTCTTAAAAAAGAAAAAAAAAAAAAGTCTTCAACGATTCTCTTAATTTCTACATTTCTAACTTCTCATTTAATTTTTAATCACTACAGAATATTCCATGATTTACTTATGCAAACCCTGACTGTCTATTTAATTTCCTCTACTTTTTTTTTTTTTAAGAGGGATTTTTTTGCTATAGGGTGCATTCAGGAGGGACAGAGAGTGAGAGAGACAGAAAGCGAGAAATAACCCCCTGGAGGGATGGCCAGGCAGCAATCCCTTCTCCTCTTGGAATCTTGGGCACACACGTACATGTACCCGGGGTGCTTTACGGCGCTGGGTCTGGGACTCGACCACGTGGCGTCCAGCACCGTAACTATTTACGCCATCTGTCCGTCCCAATTCCTACCCTGTTACTGTCATAAACAGTTTTGGTGAGTATCGCTGAAGCTGTACCTCAGTGCAGATCTATACACTATGAGGCAAAATTCCCAAAACACAATGGCTTCATATATTTATAGTTAAATATCGATCTCGAATGGTGCAAGCCTGCTTTTGCAATAACTGAACACACTGACATTCTCAGGGCACAGGACTAAGTGGGCTCCCTTTCCTCTCACTCATCCACGTATCTACGGTTCCAATAAGAGGAGCTATTTATAGGTACTTGCTATGTGCTCAACACTGCTCCAAATGTGTTCCTGGCATAATTTCATCTGAAACAATGGAGTCCTTGGCTTACTCATTATAAAGACAGTAGTGGAGACTACATTGGGGGAGCCAAGGAAGAGAAGAGTCTCCTAAGAACTTGACCCATTTTTTTTCTTACCTAGTAACTAGAATAAATGATAAAAGGAACCTAAGTTAGCCTTGGCTTACATGTCAGCACTGAAGATAGTTGCCTTCCTCATAAATTATGACATCCCAACTTACTGGCACGGCTTGGCCGAATGACGGTGTGGGCAGAACACCACCTTGGCCTCTTGTACCTCACTGTCCTTCCACCGCTGTCTGCAGCCAGTCCGCTCCCCTGCCTTGAGGTGACCTAATGCTAATATTTTATGTGATTGCCAGAGGGTACATAGGCTCCCAGGAAGAGAGAGGGGCAGAGGAGATGAGAAAGCACTCCCCAGTGGACATGGTCACAGAATCCCTTCTCCTCCAGTTCTGCATCCTGTCAGGGTTTGGGGCACACCTTCTCCGGGTGTGTGGGCCTGGACTGAACTGCAGTTGACCACGTGGGGTCCAGCTCCCTTAACACTTGTCTACGAGGCTGGCTCAGCCATTAGATTACTACACATTCTTTCAAAACGTTTCACACACCCGTGAGTAAATAAGTATATTCTTTCCTGTATTTTAATATAAGCATTAAGCCTTTATTTCCTTTACAGTATATCCTAGAGCTCACTTGCATAAATACAGTTTTCTCATTTCACTTTTGGCCTTATTCTATTGTATGACTATCCCATTGTTTACTTAACCAGTGCTCTATACAGTTAGACATTTCGTCTTCAGTCTTTTACAAGCATCACTTCAATTTGTACCAGTGTGCATGTATTTCTAAGTTTGTTTATTTCCCCCATGAGAAAGAGAGACAGAGACAGCTCCCCAACAGGGTCTCTGTCATGACCCCCCTCCAGCCGCAGGCAGCTCCAGATCATGAGTAAGCAATTGCCTGGCACACTCAGGGAGGACTGGACCCCAACTGGGAACCCTCCCCTGCGAGGCAGCCTCACAGAACATCAGGTTTACTGCTGAGCCACTACCTGGTCCCGTATCTTGCATTCTTCTGAGTCACTTACAGAATGTCTTATGTATCAATGATAATGAAAAGATCAAGCACACTGCACTTTTTCTCCTATGCATAATTGTTCTGCCCTCACACGATACTTTCCTTTCTCTCTTTCAACGTCTGCCTCAAAGATAGCAGCAAATATTTGTTACAAAAGCTCTTGCTCCACTTGAGGTTGCGTGTGGATTGTGTAAAATCAATTGCAAAGGAGGAATTAGTGGCTGAATGAGCTAAAGGAATGCTACTCTGGTTCTTATTACGTCTCTCGTCTTTCTCCAAATCAACCTGCACATACCTGATGGTTAATGAGGCAGTATTCCCTATGTGGGCGCGATCTCAAACTCTAAGATAGGTCTTAGAAATCTGAGACATGGGAACCAGCAGTTAGCGTAATGGCTATGTCGCTGGACTCCCATGTAGTCGACCGTGGTTCGCGTCCTGGACCTGGTGGCTTAAAACTCATGCCGGGCGCGTGTGTGTGCGTGCCCAAGATCCTGAGAGGAGAATGGAGGAGAAGGGATTGTGGCGTGACCATCCCCCCTGAGAGGTGATTCCTCCCTTTCTGTCTCTATGTGTCTCTCTGTCTGTCTGGCGAGTGCACGCGCCCTATAGCGAAAACCTCTCAAAAAAAAAAAAATCAGAAATCTGAGACACTATTTTTTTTTAATATTCGTGTAAGATTTCTTTAATTTTACTAGTTACTATTATTTAAATTGCTACAGGGCACGTATCCTCATGCGCACAAGAGAGAGAGAGAGAGAGAGAAAGACGGAGAGAAAGAATGAGAAAGCAAACAAATTGCTAGGTCCAGGACTCGAACCACAGTTCGCCATGTGGGAGTCCAGTGCCTTAACCACCACGCCATCTGTTGGCCTCATGAAACACTATCGAGAAGTAACAATAATTTAGAAGTTAGAATTCTAATAAATATAATTACTAGCTTCTTGTGTTTCTTAAATCATAGAGAATTTCAAAGATATCATTAGGATTAGCTTATATCACAAATACTTTAGTAATAATACCCCCTTCCACTTTTTTGGTTTTGGTGAATAAGGACTTTATTTCAGTGATGCCAGCACTGGGGAGAAAGCAGACAGGAGTCCATAAGTGTCTTAACTACATGAGACAAAGTAAACTGTACAGGGGAAGAAATCAACATGAGGTACATCTGGAAGCGAAGGGCAAGGTATTCACTGTCCTGGGGCAGAATCACAAGGCTCCCCCGCAGGGACAGACCCCTCAGCAGCCAATCACTGCTTAAGGCAGTTTTCCTTCCAGGCACGCAGGGCTGGACCAGTCTGGATCCCTGTGAGGGGCTTACCGAGGAGCGCAGTGGTAACCCGACCAGACCCACAGAGGAGGTCTCGGGATCATGTCTGCCTGTAACGCTGGCTGGCTGGAGGAGACTGGAGAGCACACAGGAAGACCCTGTGGAAGTGCCTGTGTCTGTCTGTGCTGTGTGGCGGTGGGACTGGAGGAGCAGGACACAGAGAAACCACCCAGGTGCTGTAAGCCTGAGCATAACAATGGCTGTGCAGGGTCAGAAACTGTTTCATGGTCTGGCTCTTGCCTAAGTGTCTTTCTTCCCCAAGTATATAAATCTATAGAATACTGATACCAGTGTAAGCAAATTAGTCATGTAAAGCCTTGCCCATTTAATTTTAGCTGAGTGGGTACCTATGAATGAGACTTAAAATTCTATTATAGGTCTTATTTAATTGGGGCCTTTACATTAAAAAAAAAAAACATGAAAAAATATGTATTTTTTATTTGCTACAGGGTGCCTGTGCTTGCTGGAGGAGCACGAATGAGAGCCGGGAAGTAAGAAAGCACCCCTCCTAGCGGATGGCCACGCTGCACTCCCTTTTCCTCCATTTCTCCTTCGGAACTCAGGGCATGCCCACACACACCTAGCCTGGCATATTTTTCAAGCCTCCAAGTTTGGGACTTGAATTGCACTGTCAGCCATGTGGGATCCAGTTGCCTTAACCACACTATTGCCACCAGCTAGCCTCAAATAATTTTTTTTTAAGGTTTTGGCCATAGGGTGTATGTGTTCACCAGATAGACAGAGACAGACAGAAAGGGAAAGTGAGAAATCACCCCCAGAGGGATGACCACGCCACAATCCCTTCTCCATTCTCCTCTTGGGATTTTGGGCACACATGCACATGCATCTGGTGTGATTTTCAAGCCGTGGATCCAGACTCGAATCATGGCTGGCCATGTGGGACCCAGCGCCTTTACCACCATGCCACCTGCTGGACCTTGACGCTGGAAGATTTTCAATGAGTCATGTAACTCTGGGGGAGTCTCTACTTACCTCCTCCTAGGGGCTATAAGACATCTTTCTGTTGTTGGAAAATACTAGATTTGTTGATTTGAGCTCATTTTTGCCCAATGAATTAAAAATATAAACAAAACAATACAAACAAACAAATGCAAAAACTGTCATCGTCTTAAAGCCTTTCTTTTGCCCACTTCAAAAGATTAAGATATTGTTGGAGATCCCTGGTCCTATGAGTTGACCCTCACACTGTTAATATAATCAAAGAAAAACGTTAAGTACTTCTGAGAAAAACCTTAAATTTTAAACGTTGTAAATAGAACTGAGTAGGCTGTAATACCCAGCTAAGGCTTGGGAAGCAGTTTTAATATTTAGAGTACAATGTAGGTATTTTTCCTGAAATTGAATGATTTAGCCTTCATGTATGTGGGAAGCTGCTCTAAAACAGCAGAGGCCTGTATGTGCTTCTATTTTGGAATGCAGGTGTTCTTTTCTCATATCCCTCCTTCCCTGCAGTTCCCAAAGCTCTTCACTCGGTGCTTATAAATAAATGACAGGAAGGTAAGTAATGCCCTCTTGAAACACTTCTAGGATCATCAGAAGACTCACCAGAAGATAAACAATTATTTGTGTAAAATCAAGAAAAATCTCAAAACAAAACAAAAAAATCACCCATGGCTATAAAAGAGGACGCTAAATATATAATCTATGAAGCAAAATAAGGAGCACTTCATAGCACTCTTCAGTTGAGGTTTGAGTCCCCTTTAATTTTATTTTTTTTGGGGGGAGAGGTTTTTGCTATAGGGCACGTGTGTTCGCCAGAAAGACAGAGAGAGACAGAGAGACAGAAAGCGAGAACTCAACCCCCAGGGGGGATGGCCACGCCACAATCCCCTCTCCTCCATTCTCCTCTCAGGATCTTGAGCACGCATGCACACGCGCCCGGCGTGAGTTTAAGCCACTGGGTCCAGGACTCGAACCGCGGTCGACTACATGGGAATTCAGTGACATAGCCATTACGCCAACTGCTGATCCCAAGTCCCTCCTTATTTTTAATTGCCAGAGAATGTACGTACTTATCAGAAAGAGAGAAAACACCCCCAGTGGGGCAGAGTCACACTGAAACCTTTCTTCCTCCATTTTTCTGTCCCATCAGAATTGTGGGTATGTACACATGCCTGGCATATTTTTCAAGGCAGCTTGTCAGGATTTGAACCGGATCCAGCTCACAGTGCAATGGACTTAACTACTATGCTATGGGGATAGCTCGTGAGCCTTCTTTAAAAATAGAATACTTGACTTTGCTATAGGGCACGTGTGTTCGCCAGAAAGACAGAGAGAGACAGAGAGACAGAAAGCGAGAACTCAACCCCCAGGGGGGATGGCCACGCCACAATCCCCTCTCCTCCATTCTCCTCTCAGGATCTTGAGCACGCATGCACACGCGCCCGGCGTGAGTTTAAGCCACTGGGTCCAGGACTCGAACCGCGGTCGACTACATGGGAATTCAGTGACATAGCCATTACGCCAACTGCTGATCCCAAGTCCCTCCTTATTTTTAATTGCCAGAGAATGTACGTACTTATCAGAAAGAGAGAAAACACCCCCAGTGGGGCAGAGTCACACTGAAACCTTTCTTCCTCCATTTTTCTGTCCCATCAGAATTGTGGGTATGTACACATGCCTGGCATATTTTTCAAGGCAGCTTGTCAGGATTTGAACCGGATCCAGCTCACAGTGCAATGGACTTAACTACTATGCTATGGGGATAGCTCGTGAGCCTTCTTTAAAAATAGAATACTTGACAATGAGTAGACAAGAATTTCTCTTGTTTCTCCTTATCGGAGACCACTTAAAATAATTTCTGACAACGTGGAAACAGAAGGTATGTGGAAAATCACAACACACTACTGGCAGGAGTATAAAATGGTACAATCTCCATAAAAGACAAGAGGTGATAAATTACAAATGCACTCAGCAATTGACTCAGCAATCCCGTTTCTCATGCCTTACACACAAGCTATCGTTCTAGAGCTGTTTTGTAAGGGCATGGCTAGAAGCAACTTAAATGTCCAAGAGACTAGCTAAGTGAATCATCGTGCTCGGCACAATAAAATAGTACGCAGTTTTTCTGTTAGAAAAGAATCAAGCGCCTTATGTACTGATATGAAATAGCTTTCAAGACATGTTAAGTGAAAATGCAAGGTGCAGGAACCAGCAGGTGGCAGAGCAGCTACATCACTGGACTCCTACATAGCCAACAGTGGTTCAAGTCCCAGTGGTTTGAAACTCACGCTGGGCGTGTGTGCCCAAGATCCCAGGAGAAGAATGAAAGAGAAGGGATTGTGTCGTGGCCATCCCCCGGGGGGTGGGGGTGATTTCTCACTTTCCCTCTCACTGTGTCTGCCTCTTTCTCTCTCTCTCTGGTGAGCGCACGCCCTAAGGCAAAAATCTCTACCCCCCCCCCAAAAAAAAAGCAAGGTACAGGACAGCATGTACTGCTGTTTTTTGTTTCTTAAAGAGAGACTTTTGTATAGGGCACCGTGTGTTTGCCGGAGAGAGATAGAGACAGAAAGCGAGTAATCACTCCCCAAGGGGATGGCCATGCCACAATCCCTTCTCTTCCATTCTTCTCTCGGGATCTTGGGCATGCACGCACATGTGCTAGGCATGAGTTTTAAAGCTGCCTGTTCTGGGAGCCCAGCGACATAACCATTATGCCATCTGCTGGTCCCTGTATTGTTTTTTCAAAGGAAAAACTACATACGTAAGTCTACTCATGTACGTACAGATTACCTGTGGAGCACACATAAAGAAGTCACATCTCTCAGGGCATACGAGACCGTACGCGACAGCGAACATCCCTCTGGCCCTTACTTTACAGCAGTGTGAGAAGATCTGGCAGATGTACTCCTGCGTGTGCCGGGACCTGCTCAGCAGCGCCATGAGGTGCGGGATCACTGTGGCATCCTGAAGGCAGAGAGGAGAGCAGAGCGGCGTGAGCTCAGGCACCTCAGCACGTTAGACAAGACGCTGCCACGGCCAGTGTGCGGCCCAGGCTCCTGTCATAACCTCGGGGCACTAAGTCTCTTTAAGGAACAGAGCAAAACAAAAGCAAGCAGTCATCGAAACCTGGCAAAGGACAAGGGAAACATGGTTAATATTCATCCTGGATGACAAAATACAAGAACACGAAATTCTCTGGGACCAGCAGTTGGCGTAATGGCTATGTCGCTGGACTCCCACGTAGTCGACTGCAGTTTGCGTCCCAGACCCGGTGGTTTAAACTCACGCCGGGCACGTGTGCGTGCGTGCCCAAGATCCCGAGAGGAGAATGGAGGAGAAGGGATTGTGGCATGACCATGCCCCCTGGGGGGTGATTTCTTGCTTTCTGTCTCTGTCTGTCTGGCGAGCACATGCGCCCTATAGCAAAAACCTCTCAAAAACAAACAAACAAACAAAAGAACACGAAATTCTCGGCTCACAATATAACACTAATTCAGTAACACTTCACAGGAATCAGTTCTGAAGCCCCAACGTGAGCTAACTAAACGTAGCTTTCAAGAAGGAATTACTATACAAAGTCAAACCTGGCGGTTTCGATCTCAGACATGCTGTGGTGACTAGCAACAACGTCTCACGGTTGGCTGTTTTCCACCTGCACCAGGCAATGTATATGATTAGAACTTCTCACATACAGCCCTTCTCAGCCCCCTGCTGACACTTAACATACACTGTGGAAGAGAAAAAGGAAAAAGAATCAACCTACCCTGCTGTGGGCTTGTCCAAGAACTTTCCTTTTCTTTTCAAGTTTCTTTCTTTCTTCCACAAAACTGAGAGATGGTCTCCCGCTATGATCCCCGCTCTCAGCCAGGACACGGCTGCATGTGCCTGGCATATGCAAGCCACCAGGACTGCACCTGCGATACTCCGCACGACGCAGCTCTGCTTAGCAGTAAGCAATGGCTGTGCCAGCGAGCTGGCCCCTCAACAATGTCCTTTTATTTAATACAATGCAGAGGAATTAGAAGTTGAAGACGACTTGGCTCAAGTGTCATAGTTAGCACTACCCTGAGTCCCACGCTTCTCAAGTCTGAAAGTCCTGCAAATTCCCAGGGGATGTTCGGATGTAAAGATTCTCATCATTCCCATCCTAGGGGGACCTGGAAGTCTGCATTCTAACTAGCTCCCAAATGGGATGCTGCTGCTGGCCCACGGACCCACACTTTGACAATCTCACAGAAGCCAAGCAACAAAGGGCAAGGAAGGACTTAAAAGAACACCTCTGCTGGGATGAACGATGTAAGAACAGGTACATAATCTGTGCCAAGGTACCTGATTGATAAACAGAATTTCAAACTAGAAAGCCTGCTCTTTTCTAACTGGCTTGTCCCGTCTCTGGAGGCCTGAGTTGCTTTAACAGCTGGTCTCTACACAATCCAGTCCAACTCCCAGAAGTCCGTTAACTACACTGACACAGTGCTATCAGTTATCTCACCGACTGCTACCTCTGAATTCTCTGCTGTCTCTGAAGTGCAAATCTCTGGGCATACAACTGAGAAGTCTCCTAGCTTAGATACTCACATCTAAGTTTACCTTCCCTGGTCTTAATTCTTCTCATGCAGCAGTAGCACGACGCTGAGAAGCTGACCCACATGGGGCAGGTGCAGGGTCCTGTCTGGAGGCTTCCCTGTGCACTAGGTGCACACGTGCCCAAAAGCTGGGGTGGCCCTGACCTTGTTCAGATGGGTCCAGTTGTGTTACCACTGCACCACCACCTCGCCCTCCCGAATCTTCTTTTTGGGGGTCAGGGAATTTTTGCTATAGGGTGTGTGTGCTCACCAGAGAGACAGAGACAAGAGAGACAGAAAGCAAGAGATTACCCCTCCCACCTGGGTAGATGGTTGCGCTGCAACCCCTTCTTCATTCTCCTCTCAGATTTTGGGCACGCAAGCACACGGATTTGGTGTGAGGTGCAAGTCACCAGTTCTGGGACTTAAACCATGATCAACCACATGGGAGTCCAGTGCCTTAACTCCTACACCACCTGCTGGTTCCGAGTCTTTTTATTTTTAAACAACCTGTAAAATTCCTCAAGGTCTGAGACTACCTTCCATTTTTCACAAAGCCTACATTTAAAAAAAAAAGTTTATCTTATATTTTCCATGAAAGAGACAGAAAGAGAGGGAGAGAGACAGGCGCCCACAACAGAGTCCCTAAACCATGGCTCACCCCAGCCTCGGCCAGCATGGTGTGCACTGGGAGAACTGGGGAATGTGAACTCAGCACCTTCCCACATGCGTCCGTTACCACAGAGTGCTGCGTTACCACTGAGTCACAGCTGCTGGCCCCACACGGCAGAGAACATGTGACACTTGCAAATAAGTAAGAACGCAAAGACTTTCTGAGATTTTTCTACATAATGCCATTATGATGAGTTCAGAGATGCTAAGCAAATTAGGTGGAGGCTGTTACTGAAATGTTACAACTCGAAAACCCTAAAGGCCCAGCTGCAATGGAACAAGTGAAGCTACACAGAGGCTGTGGTCCAGATCCCAGACTGTGAATCACACTGGGCACGCACATGCACACATACACCCACGACTCTGGCTGGCTGGAGAGCCAGGGAACTGTGGCATGACAAGGCCCTGTCAGGGATTCCTGTTTCTCTCTCTCTCATGAAAGAAATAACACTTAAAAACAAATAAGCAAATGTCTAAAAACTCACCGTATACAGCAGCTCCTCTGGGGTGACAGGACTGGTGAAGATGGTACGCAGGCATCGCAGACAAGCTTCAATGAACTTTAGGTCTGGAGACAGCAGTCCTTTTAAAAGAAACTAGATATGAGACAGTCTTTCAACCAAGTTTTAAAATACTGCAAACAGGTTCTAACCTTCACTCAGGTAAAAACAGCATATCCCTACATACCTTGCAGTAAGGCAGGGATAATATGGCAGTCGAGGAGAGACTTGACATTGTTCTCAGTACCCATAGCAAGACTTCCCAGCACCACTGCGCATTCGGTTTTCAGCTCCGTGCTGGAAGTTTCTTGCTGAAGCAAGTACAACAATCTACAAAGAAGGAGCTTGATAAACAAAGAGACTAAAAAACATTACACAAAATTAAAGTAACATGACAGAGAAGGGCTACCAAAACATCCCATGGACAAAAATACGGTTGGCTGAGCTTATGTGACTTCCACTGGGATATGAGGATCTGTTTATATCATCTGCTATTTTAATAAAGAAACATCTGAGAAAAAAATCTAGAAGACTTTTTTTTTTTTTTTTTGTACAGGGTACAAGTCTT